TTGCTTCGCTCTCGTGGGTGCTGGGCTCCTCCTCCAGCCTTCAAGCCTGTGGCTGCTCTAAGGACTTTTCACCCCTCACTAAGGTCCCTCCAGTGTTTGCCGCAACATCCCGTCCTCCTGCCAAGAAAGCCCAAGGAGCCACGAGGTTCCTTGCATCCCTTTGGGGATAAGTTGGCTGAGCCTCTGGCCAAGGTCCCTGGGGCTGGCCCTCCCCTTGTGGGGACTGCTCAAGGTTTTGGCAAAGGTCCTGGTGGGAAGAGCCCGGTCTGCGTGGCCCCAGTGCTTGGAGCTTTATCTTGTGCAGTCGGTGGGTCCTGCACGGCCGCCTTGGTGAGCAGGGCTGGGATTCCACAGAGCTCCGGGGTGCAGGCGGGGATGGCACTGGGGACACCTGCACCTTGCACAAGGTGGTCACCCCCACGGGCTACTCGCAGCGGGGGGAGCACGTGCCCAAGCTGAGCTCACCCCAGCGCCGTCCCCATGCAGCCCCCGCTCCCACGCGAGCCCTGGGGTGGGCGCCGGGTGGTCCCTCTGTGGGTTGGATGTTGCTGCACCCACTTTGGCTCCTGCACCTCCTCCCCTGCTGGGGGCCCCCCATGGAGAAGTGGAGGGACCTGGGAGCTTCAGTCCAGTGACGAGGAGAGGCCAAGGGGATGCAATCGGCAGCTAAGGAGCAGGTGATGGAGGCAGATCTTGGTGGCAGATCTTGGTGGCAGATCTTGGCAGGTGGGGGCCACGGCCTGCAGAGTGGGCAGCAGCACCAGGCACCCCTGGGAGGGAGGTCCAGCCCTCGGACAGGTCTACAAAGAGCAGAAGCTCCATCCTGGGAAGGGTTCCAAAGCTCCACTAGCCATGGCCTGATGTTGGGAATAATCCTGCTCTGAGCATGTGGTCAGATCTGGGACCTGCAGGAACCACTGGTTGGACCAGAGACCTCTACAAACTGCTTCCCCCCAACCTTCTGCTGTGCTCGGGCTGTGCCCACAGGCTCGGGCAGCCCCACGCTCACCCTGCGGTGCTGCTGCCAGCATCCCCCAGTGCCACCCTTGGCTCCAAGCAGGAGCAGCTCCCGGCGTGGCCGGGGGGCCATGATGGGGGTCCAAAGGGCCCCTGCAGCATCACCAGGCTGTGGGGGGTGACCCCCATCCCGGCCGCCGTGGGGCCGTGCAGGAGCTGCTGGGTGCAGGGCGGCAGCGCGTGGAGCCGCGGTGCCCCAGGGCAAAGCGGGGGGACCCGCAGGGCAAAACGGGGCTTTACCGAGTCCCTGCTGCCCCGCGGCTGCGCCAGGGTGTTAGCAAGGCCCTGCCTGGGGCTGCACCTGCCTGTAGCCAGAGGGAGAAAGAAAACACGGATTTTTCATAGCTGGAAAGACCAGGTGGTGGGTGCTGCCCATGGCACCGGGCCCGGCAGGACTTGTTCTCGCTCCCTGCAGCCGGGGTTTGGCCTGGCTCGTGTTTGTATGCGGGGGAGCGGGGGAAGGACAATGCCAGGAGCTGGTGAGAGCCCCAGAACCTGCTGTTCGTGGTATGCGAGCGTGCATGGGCCGCATACGCACGCGCACCCTCCGGTTTCCCACCGCTCCCCGCATCGCCCCGCGTCCTGCGGGCACCGCTCTGCCCGTGAGAGCAGCGTCCCAGCCCTGCTGTTTTCCATTCGGACTCAAAGCCTTCTGGCGAGCAGGAAGTCCTCCTTGCCCGAGTGCTCTCCACCGTCCTCGTTCTTTTCTATTAAAAAAGAAAAATAAAGACAAAAATAATGCAAAAGAAGAAAAATAACGCCAAGAAACTAAGCATGCCTAGGCCAATGCAGCTCTCGGCGGGCGAGTTGCCGCCGCCGTGTCTTCCATGTGTGTCTCGTGCCTGTATCTCGTCGCCTTGCGCCCGTGGCCGGGCAGCGGCACCATCGTGGCTTCGGTGTCCTGTGTCGTGTTGGTGCATCTCACCGTGAAAGCAACTTTAGAAGCCATATGAGACCCCGGCGCGGCGGGACCCTGGCGGGGGAGGGCCCGCGGGGCAGCCGTGACCGACCCCGATCCCAGCTTTCCCACCTCCGTGTGTCAGCCGTTTCCCGGGTCCCGCAGGGCTTGGCCATGGAGCCGGGTGGCACCTGCTGCTGCCTCCTGTCCGGGGCTGCCACTGGGCAGAGCTGCAGGGCTGGGAGAGGAGGTTTGGATTGGGAAATGGCCAGGAGCTCCCAGTGGAAAGGGCTTTCTGGAGCCATCTGGGGCGTTTCTGAGGGTCTCCGTGAGCACAGCTTGCTGCAAGGGACTGGCCAAGTGTCCGTCTCCAGCGTGATGGTGGTGGTGATGGTGGGGAAAGACCCACCGGTTCCGTTCCTGGTGGCACCCGGAGCGCCCAGCGGCAAAGCCGAGGCTGGAGGGAGCAGCGGGTCCAGGCAGGACCCTGCGCTACCCCGGCCGGTGCTCGGGGCGGCTCCGTGTCCCGGTGCTGCCGCCCGCGGCGCTCAGCTCCGCAGGAAGCTGCTTTTAAAGCCCTTCCCTCTCGTGTGGACTCCTCGGTTCTGTCTTGATGTCGGATCGTTATTTTGTAACAATATCTGTCTCCTTATTAAAGAAACGAGCTGAAAGGAGCCCCTGGCCTCGTCCTGCTTCACTCTCACACACGGCGCCTCTGCGGGGAGGGACTGGCCTGGAGGCCGCCAGCCGGGGCCGAGGGCGGGAGGCTGGAGGCGAGGGGGGCGGGGCCGGGGC